AAACAAAAGAATACACTCAGTCACACTTATTTAACTTTTTATTTACTCAACTTTCGCCTACTTACTTTTTTAGTTATTCATTATTAACTTTATTACATTTTAAACACCAAATTAGAAATGTAAAATTTTCTACACGGTTGTAATAAAGCTGTTATCTTATGAGTGATTGTTTGTCCAGTGTCCGTCGTCCGTGTCAATGTTTTACTTTTTCGACTTCTTCTTGAAAACTACAAGCTTGAATGCTTTGATACTTGGTGTATATGTACCTTGGGTAGACCTTTCTCAGATTTGTTCATTTCATGATCATATCTTCAATTCTCTAATTTTGGTGAATATTTTTGTCATTTTTGGTAAAAAGTGATATTTTCGACTTCTTATTAAAAACCACAAGTCCAATTGCTTTGATATTACATATATAGGTACTACATGTGGACCACTCTCAAATTTGTTCATTTTATGATGATATCTTCAATTCTCTAATTTTGATGAATATTTTTGTCATTTTTGGTAAAAAGTGTTATTTTCTTCTTGTTAAAAACCATAATAATTTGTGGTGAAAAATGATATTTTTGAATTCTGGTTGAAAACAGCAAGTCCCATTGCATTGATACTATGCACATTGTTAATTTTCTAATGATATCTTCTGTTCTTTAATTGAAATGTGCATTGCTAACAGCGGAGCTATCTCAGCCGAGAGGCTGCTTGTTTACTTTTTGACTCAGTGTGCGAAGCACAAAAACGGAGTTTTTGCAGTTAGTGTGTGTGTCTGTGTCTGTTCCACTGATATCTCAAGAACCATACATTGATTTTTGATGAAACTTGGTGCATAGATTTGATTAGGTTTTGGTAAAAATCCATGCATAATAATTACCTAATTTGCATGATAATTAGCTAATTTTTAACTGTTCCAGTTCCACTGATTTCTAAAGAACCACTCATTGGATTTTGATGAAACTTAGCACACAGATGCTCCTAACTAATGCACAGATTTGATTAGTTTTGGGTAAAAATCTGTGCAATATTAATTACCTAATTTGCATAACGATTAATCAATTTTGGGCTTTTCCACTGATATCTCAAGTACTGATCATCACATTTCAATAAAACTGGGTACATAGATGTCATAGGACACTGCAAAACCTGATAGTTTTTAGAGTAATATAGTACATATTAATTATCTAATTTGCATAATTAATTAATTTTCAGCTTTTGATATTTCAAGTAGTAATCATTACATTAGAGCACTCAGGAGTTCTTTCTAAGCTTTCTTTGATTACAACTGTTACAAAGTATTTCATTTCTGATGGTTAAAATATCAGCTGATCGTAGACCACAAGTGTTTATTTTCATGTTTCGAGTCCATTTATGATCTAAACGAATGCAGACTCTTGCTAACAACTGTTGTCATGGCAAAACGTCAGCAGTGTGATGTGTCTAATCACTGTAAACCATGTGACATTTGTTTGGTCCCACAATTTGTCTTCCATGTGCTTGCCGATCACCGAACAGTGCGGCATGTCGCCGGTACATAGTCTTTATACACTTTTTTTACTGTACCATTTAAAACTTAATTTTTCTATAAGGCATATGATGAACCCTTGTACTGTCAATAAAAAGTAATATTATGGGCATCGACCATTGGAATCCACGCTTTTCGACCGACCAACCAAAGGGAATCGTGCTCTTCGCAGAGTGCAATAATCGACATTCGGCGAGTCGCACAATCGCGTTGCAGAGTTAGTTTTTTGACCCCCTTACATACATGAGGCCACTTAAAGAACAAATACTGTATTCTGTAAAGCAGAAAGCTTAACTGTCAGTAAACTGTGTTTAACGGAATGCCGTTTCTGTAATAAAATTAGGTAAAGTATTGCAATAACAGATTTTGAATTTTAGTAATATATTTCTTTTTACATTCAGTCACCAGGAGTTGATGCAATTCAAAGAATATTAGGTATTCAACAAGAAGGGTAAGATATCAGTTTTATTTCCTCTTTTTGAATGATTTTTTTGTTTAAACCAGTTCCATCAAGGATTGAATAAATTTAGAATGTCATTATTGTAACATTTATCATAAAAAAAACTTATTTAACATCAGCAATATAATTACTTTAAAATTTGGTAATTTTAGTAAATAATGAAACCTCATATTCAGGTAGAATAATTATCCCCATAGAATATGATGGCTTATATTATATACTGCATATGCTAAATATATTAAATATATTTTGTAAGTATGATGTCACTATGACATCATTTGTAAATCTTTTCAACTAACAATGTCTTGTTTTGTATGATCTTTCTATTGATAAAACATGTACCACACCATATGAATGTGTTATCAGTTTAGGAAATGTGGAAAAATGCTGCTTACTGTTTTGTTGCTCTGCAAATACATCAAATAGTATTGTTGTTTACGAGTGAATCAAAAGACAGTATTTTGAAAAAATAGATTAAAAAGATTGAATATTGGCTGCTAGACTGAGGTAAAAAATTTGGTTGCCGTCTGGGGAGGGGAAACAATTTTGCAATTTTCCAATGGTCTAAGCTTGCTTTGCGTAAAAACAAAAAAAAACAATGTATGATGTTTTGTTTTGTGATTTAATTAAAAATAGCCAGTCTCACCTACAAACGAAGACTACAGATATGTCATTGACAATGTTCGTTAACTTTTTAGTGATGATGTATCAGATGATAGTGATGATGACCATAATGATGCTATTTTATGGCATGAGCAGAGAAAACAGATCCGTGATAGAATCGTTCAAGGTCAAGTACCACCACCTGAAATGTGGGCAGCAAGACGACCTGCTGCTAATTATAAACCTACAAGGTAAATCATTGCAATCATTATATGTTGTGTAGCAATCTGAATGTATGTTTGACTACCATGATATGGTACTAATAACCCCAAAAAACTGTATCTCTCGATGAACAATACCTTCCCCAGTCAGTCTATCAGGTGGTTATTATCATGATCAACAACTACCAGCTACCCCCTTTTATGTAAATTCATGCATAGGATTCCATGGCGATGGTTGTCATTGCCATATTACTCTCTTAAAGGTTGACATTTTTACTTTGAGCTATAAAAAAAGAAATTCAAGTTCAAAATATTTTTTTATTGTGCTAGAGATTCAGTTCTTTCATGCAATATGCAAAATATTGTTGTAAATAGAAAATGTTGTCCGTTTACACCTATTTAATAAGAACACCAGGAAACTCTCATTATAACATCTCTTTATTTTCAGAAAAGTAACAAAAACCAGAACTAGTGAGTTACTTGCCAAGCAACAGAAAGAAAGAGAAATGGAGCCAGAAGAAAGTAGACCTGAAGACAAAGTGAGTTCTACTATATTATTACCTTTGACCAGTTAGACTTACTATATAATAATTTAATATAATCAGAAAAGTGATATACAAGTAGCTGGCTATAATTATGGAGTTAATTTAACATAAAAAGGCATGCATGCATACAGCATTCTTCATAACATTAATGATATCTGCAATTATTTGAGACGTATATAGTTATTGACTTCGAGAATATTACACTTGTGATGGTGTTTGTTTGAGAAAGTTGTCATAGGGTTGTGTAACACAATTACTTTTTGATTGACTGCTGAGACTGAATTCAGATAATAAAAATAAGTTTATATAAGTTTGTACACATAATGAACACTTTTGATTTAATAATTAGTGATTCATTTTTGGGGGGGTGTAAACGATAATTTAGCAGTTGTTATGATTCAAAATAGCGCCAACAGGTGACTGATGATGAAGTTTTTCAGACTGTTTACAGTAAGTAGCTTTAAAAAATGAAGTGGATACATGAATTAATAAAGACCACAAATTAATCAAGTTTTCAGAGCTAGAAGGATTGAGAAATTATTCTAATTAAAATGTTTATAGATTGTGGTAACTACTTCAACACTTGAACTGAAGTCACCGTTATCTGCACCAACTGAGCTAAAAAAGGAGGAAGAAAAAAAGGAAAGAATTGAAGCTGCTAAGAAATTACGTGAACAAAGAGAACAGGAAAGACAAACACGACTCCGATTACAACGTCAGTTGGAAACATTGCGGCCAAGATGTTCAGCTTCAGGAAAGAATACCAGTGCAGATTGTACACCAATAGTATTTGATATGGTAAGATACATCAGTATGTTTACTGGCTTAGTTATTTCTATAATTATTCGTTGGATATAGTCCTAAATTGGAACTATCTTTTGGATTTGCTTTTGTTCATATTCATGTGAAACCTTGATATCTTTATCATATTAACCTGTCCTAGCTATGATCTACCTGTCTGGGACAGATGGACAGGCTTCAATTTCACTCCTACATAATAGCCTGTGACAAGATATTTGTTTTTTTATTCACTTCACCAGATCATTGAGCTTTTGAATGCTTGGCACACCATCCAAGCTCAGCAATTGATACATATTACTTAATACCCTTCTTTGTCTATAATTGACACAGTTTCTAAAAACTGGGTGGGAGTATACTATTGACAATGACTTGGTATTATGACAGATACACAGTGTATTTTTAGCTCCGCTGTCGACTTCGTCAAGCAGAGCTTATCATATGAATGATTGTCCGTGTCAATGTTTTACTTTTTCGACTTCTTCTTGAAAACTACAAGCCTGAATGTTTTGATACTTGGTGTATATGTACTTTGGGTGGCCCTCTTTTAGATTTGTTCATTTCATGATGATATCTTCAATTCTCTAATTTTGGTGAATATTTTTGTCATTTTTGGTAAAAAGTGATATTTTCAACTTCTTGTTAAAAACAGCAAGTCCAATTGCTTTGATATTACATATATAGGTACTACTCTCAGATTTGTTCATTTTGTAATGATATCTTTAATTCTCTAATTTTGGTGAATGTTTTTGTCATTTTTGGTAAAAAGTGATATTTTCAACTTCTTGTTAAAAACCGCAAGTCCAATTGCTTTGATATTACATATATGTGTACTACATAAGATTTGTTCATTTTGTAATGATATCTTCAATTCTCTAATTTGGGTGAATATTTTTGTCATTTTTGGTAAAAAGTGATATTTTCCACTTCTTGTTGAAAACCGCAAGTCTGATTGTTTTGATACTATACATATTGTTCATTTTCTAATGATATCTTCTGTTCTTTAATTGAAATGTGCATTGCTAACAGCGGAGCTATCTCAGCTGAGAGGCTGCTTGTTAATATTTTGTTCAAAGATGATACAGTTCACATGTGTTGCCTCAGTTGTTTTCTCAGCCTAAGTGTCCCAAAATAATTCCTACAACAAATATGGTAGAAAGCTAAAATAGCTCTGTCATCGTGCACAGTGTCACTGATGGAGAGATTTATTGTCTAATTTCTTGCCTAATCTAGGAAGTACTAGTATGTGATCAGATTTTGGTGTTTATATTGCAGGAATCATCTTATGAACCATCACCAGAGACATTACCATCCATATTAAAGAAAGAACAAGAATGTCTTTTGTTAACAATTCATATGTCCAGCAATGGTGCAGTTATTGCACACCGTGGTAGTGGTAATAAAAGTATTGATAGTAACACAAGTATATCATCTACTCATGCTACACTGATTACCTGGCTATTATCATTAGTACCTGACAATTATGATTTCTTGCAACATGAAGTACTATCTGTCAAACCAGAAATATCAGAAGTTGCACCGTTTTATGTGATTGGTTTACAACAACTTTGGCAGGAAAACTATCTATCTTTGGTTGTTGCCATCACACCACGAGATAAATCCAAAATTAAAAACATACCAGCTAAAAAGAAATCCCGACTGAGAGATGAAATCAAAGATATTTCACCGTTCCAACATAGTGTTATGAAATATTTGACAACACACACATTGCATACAGTTTGTCCATGGTTGCAAGGTATATTTGCATGTGAAGTTAGTGCCAAAGGTGAACTGAAAGCAGCTGCACTTGATAACAGTGGAGTTCAAAGTGATGGTTCATATATTACATCTCTACCTGTAGTCACAAGCAAACCACTGTCTACGTTTATTGCCATAAGTCCTTATACACAGGCTATGTGGAAGATATTTAATGCTCCTGTTGGTTTCTTCTGGCAAACTGTAGATTCAGATGAAAATATTTTAGATCAAGATGTATGTAATGATTACAACAGTAATCCTGCTGTACAAATGACAATGAGTCTAATTTATAAGCATATCTACCGTACACCTGATGCTATGATGGGTATCATGCAAAGAGTTTTACAGGAAGGATTGGATTTAGCTGGTATTCGATTACTTTATCCTACTGGCAACTTGATACCTAGTATGCATGCCATACCCAGGAAAGAAGATACAAGTAATGACTTGGATATGCTCAATAATGTTGGTGGTATCATTGCATTAGCTTTACGTGGTCATTGTGCTAGAAGTAAATGGCTTGATGCAGTTGGGCCTTCAGATCCACAACTTGCCAGAAGAACTGATCCCAACTCACTGTGTGCTAAGTATGGTGGACAGAGTAGGGATGAATCGTGGCTTTTCTGTCCACGCAATCCTGCCAGGATCAATTCTGAATTGTCTCGCTGGTTTGGTGGCCGAGTGCCATCTAGTGGGTCCATTGATGTTGGTGTCACCAATCCAGTCGTGTCTGCTAAAGCTAAGAAAACTGCTCGTACTCAGAGCCCATCAAGGAGGAAGTCCAAGAAAGGCAATGTTAGTGAGGATCAATTGATGTGTTTACCAAACCGCCGTCCACCAGCCACCTTGACTGCTACAACACAAGGAGATATATTTCTTACAGTATCTCCTCTCATACCAACACATTGTATTGGTACTATTATTACTGTCTGTCACAATAGAGGATTTCAATTACGTGGTATTCGTAGGATGAGATTAAGTGTCAAAAGAGCCAACAGTATAGGTAAGCCTATTGAATACAAGTATTTTATGCTGGATCATAGATGCTTTTTTGCAAATATGCTACACTATTTTTGACAATGACACACCTCTGTCACTTAAGTGAAGCGCTGCTCGAAAAATTACAGTTTGACACATTTCAGCTAAACACATCTATGTTATTTACATAAGCACATGTGCTACTAATGCTTGTAGAACAAATATGGTATGAACTATTCTTTATTATTATACATCTGTCACTGTAACGCCGTAAGTTACAGTGTGCCGTAATTTAGCAGTATTGCTCTGGGTATTTTCATCCTACTATATTACGAATCACAAATTCCAAATATGGAATTATTACGCGCGTAAGCGTTCTCTAATGATAAAAAACAAAGATGGCTGCTCCAAGGGTTTGACCGGACCCCACGCAAAGAAGTTTGCTAAATCTTTTCTGAGCGTTTTAGCGCATTCTCATGATGTATTCCTAGGAGGGAAAGATGTATAATAAGGTTATTACGAGGATACTGCAAAATACACGATCGCATCAACTTCCGCTGCACTTCGGTCGATACTTTGCTGTACTGTCTCCATGCATACTTTGCAGTATCCTCGTAATAACCTCATATTGTAACTAGTTATTACAAACTTTTTTCTTTACAAACTTTTTTTACTAGGTATTGTTGGATCGCAGTTGTATGCATTCTGTCCAGTAGCATTTCATGAACCAGTGACACCAAAGAACTTAGATGATGCAATCTATGAACAGTTACATAATGGTAGCAGTGGATCTTATCGCCCTCCAAGACCAGCTACTATACTGTTACTAAGAAAAGAAAATGCTGCATACTTAATGTCTTCACTCAATGAGGCATTAATGGTTACTTTCTCTCTCATGGGTAAGTTCACAGTTTTAAATCAGACTAAGGTTTACAATCTGCTTAAAATATATTGTAGGTGTTTAGCTGGTTGATTGTAGATGCATGTAATATATAGTATGTATAGCTTTTTAGCATTTATTGCTTACCTCATTGCTTGCTCATTTGTATTTTTGTTGATTTTCTAATTTTACATTGTATGTACTTTATGTGGTTGTCACATCCCACAATCCAATGCAATTTATAAATGAAAATCAACTATGGACGCATTCGACCTGGGTGCAACATGCACTAATTACCGCTGGTGACTCCTTTGATACCTTCCAATCACCAAGGAAATTACCTAGGTAAAAGTTCGGGTAATGTCTTAGTTTGAGAAATAATCAGTCACCATATTTGTTTATTGTGTCTCACACATGCCTGGCGCAGCGACCACCACCCTTTAACTGTTACTACACTAATATTGAATTATTATTTCAAAGGTGTAGTTGATTTTAATTTTGATCTTGGTGAATAAATAAATGAAAAAGCTATCCTTGCCTACTTTCCAATTAGTATGTGTCTTGTTAGCTGTATCCAGTTAAACCACTGTCCTCTAATCAAAACTGTGATCTCTACCGACTCCTCGTGAAATAATGCCAGGGTATCTACCATCTGTGGTAGCTTTCTTGTTCAGTAAAGCCAGTAAAATGAGAATTGGATAAAAAAAAGTTTTGGGCTGGTTGAAACCATGATACTTAAACATGTGAATGTACCAACACAATATTTTGGGTGTTCAGCTGATGACAACTAATAATGTGTTTTTATTTGTATTTCAGGTTTACTAAGTGAAATTCAAAGTAGTTATGATGAAAGAATACAGTGCCATCATTGTTTTCATTCCACTCCATACACTGATAGTCTATTGCAGATCTTTGGAGGTGATTTTAGTCGTACACCGCATGAAGAATCCAGAACCATTATGCCCTCATCTGGTCATTTCTATTCTAATGCTGAGTTAGAACAAATAGTCGTGATCACATTAACTGGTGTTCAAGTCATGACAGATATTGGAAATACATTAAGACGTATACTAAGTGTCACAGATAAGGTATCATCATCAATAGTAATATAAGGTTATCACAAGAATACCGCAAAGTATGCACTCTGGCAGTACAGCTGAGCGTATGTTGTGATCCTGCACTGCCTGAGTGCATAGATTGCGGTATTATTGTGATCACATGATAGATCTTTTTCCTGCTTGTAGTCATAATTTAAGGATATTATAGTCTAAAACGACAACGTAAAATGTTTTGCACTGTGTAAATGTTTGCATTCGGAGACAGGATTATATTACTAATAGAAACAAAGAAAAGTGTTTGAATTTGATGTCAATGAACTTGAGCATGTCAAGGTTTGTGATGTGGTTTACCCCAATGTAGAGAGAAATTAGAACATTTCAATAAATGCTGATTTATTTTGTAACAAGTTTTTTTATAGAACAAAATTTTATATTGAAATGAAACAATGGAATATTTTATTTTACAGTGTTCAGACACATACATTTGTAGTGATCATAACCTCCATGTTACATAACATTTTAGAAATTTTTATTCCAAGGTGTTCTAAAATTTATAACTAATGTATTACAATTGATCTTTTATTTCCTAGAATATGGTAGTATTTCCTTTTTTGGCAGTGCAAAAATAAGTCAAATCAAATAAGTCCTAATAAGTCTATGTTCAAAATAAGCCAAATCTACGGTCATACTGAGTCTATGTTCAAAATAAGTCAAATCTATGGTCATAATGAGTCTAGGTCAAAATGAGTCAAATCCATGGTCATAATGAGTCTATGGTCAAAATGAGTCAAATCTATGGTCATAATGAGTCTATGTTCAAAATGAGTCAAATCTATGGTCATAATGAGTCTATGTTCAAAATGAGTCAAATCTATGGTCATAATGAGTCTATGTTCAAAATGAGTCAAATCTGTGGTCATAATGAGTCTTATGTTCAAAATGAGTCAAATCTATGGTCATAATGAGTCTATGGTCAAAATGAGTCAAATCTATGGTCATAATGAGTCAAATCTATGGTCATAATGAGTCTATGTTCAAAATGAGTCAAATCTATGGTCATAATGAGTCTATGGTCAAAATGAGTCAAATCTATGGTCATAATGAGTCTATGTTCAAAATGAGTCAAATCTATGGTCATAATGAGTCTATGTTCAAAATGAGTCAAATCTATGGTCATAATGAGTCTATGTTCAAAATGAGTCAAATCTATGGTTATAATGAGTCAAATCTATAGTCATAATGAGTCAAATCTATGGTCATAATGAGTCTATGTTCAAAATAAGTCAAATCTATGGTCATGAGTCTATGGTCATAATGAGTCAAATCTATGGTCATAATGAGTCTATGCTCAAAATGAGTCAAATCTATGGTCATAATGAGTCTATGTTCAAAATGAGTCAAATCTGGTCATAATGAGTCTATGGTCATAATAAGTCAAATCTATGGTCATAATGAGTCTATGTTCAAAATGAGTCAAATCTATGGTCATAATGAGTCTATGTTCAAAATGAGTCAAATCTATGGTCATAATGAGTCTATGGTCAAAATAAGTCAA